AGAGAGAGAGAGAGAGAGAGAGAGAGAGAGAGAGAGAGAGAGAGAGAGAGAGAGAGAGAGAGAGAGAGAGAGAGAGTAGTAGGGATGCTGCATTGTGGTTGTATTGATGAGTAGAGGCGAGAAGTTAGGCTTTCTGTATCGAGAGACTTCAGTGTCTGTTTGTGTTCGCATTTGGTGTGCTCTCGGCTTTTTAATTCTGCTTTCGACTTCGCTTATATACGCTTGTCCTGTTTCGACTCTTTTGCAGGTCACAAAATTTGTGTCCCCATTGATTGGTTCTTTGCAGTATGTTTGTCAGTATGTGAGTTTGCTGGTATGAGTCGGTTTGTCAGTGCCATCTTTCAGCCTGCCAAGCTGTATTGAGTTGAGTGGACAGGCAAAACAGAAAAGGGCAAAGGAAAGGAAAAACGACAAATGTACTGTAGAACGTAGAACGAGGGACGGTATTGCCCGGTCAGGTGTGCCATCTTTCAGCCTGCCAAGCTGTGTATTTGTGTTGAGTGGACGGTATTGGCCGGCCAGGTGTGCTGTGTCTTGACCGTCATGCTTGTTGACTTTGGCTTATCATCACGTTGATCGACCTTGACTCAGAAATGGTATCGATGGCTGACCCACTGGTTGACTTCAACTTAATCCTCATACCTTACTATTATCCTGGTTATGGGTGTGAAAAGGCATGGATGTGAGGCTTAAGAGAAAGGCCATTGTCCTCATTTCCCAGTGGGTTGAGGAAGCTGTGAAATCCGGCGGCAAGACCGGGTACGTTCCGGACGACGTCCTCTTAGAGGCCATCGTGCGCCTTTCCGAACATGTGGATCTCGACATGAGAGAGAAGGCAAGTACATGCAAACCATCATTCTTCTTCTACTTTCTTCTTCTTCTTTCTTACCATGCTTGTGTTTGAATTTCAAACTTCTAATTTTAACAAGTCTATCCGCCGCGGCTTCGCCCGCAGCGAGAGAGAGGGGACCGAAGTGATGCGAGGGAGGGGGGGCAGAGAGGCGCGCTGAACGGCGGATGCAGCAAAGAGAAGGCACCGAAGAAAGGACGATAAAGAGGAAGACGACGGGAGGAGGAGGCCGGTAGGAGGAGGGCAGAGATGAGCAGAACCTCTTCCTCCGTCCTTCCTCTGTCTTCCGCTTACTGCTCCTCCAGAGTCCTCCTCCCCCTTGTCGTTCTCCAATCGCCCCCATACTTCTGTTCCTCCTTCCTTCCTCCTTTCTTTCTCATGCTCCTTCTTCCTCCTCCTCCTCTTGCTGGTGGTCCAGCGTACCTTCCTCTTCCTCTTTCTGGCCATCCTTCGTCTTTCTCTTCTTTCCTTACTCTGTCCTTGTGCCTCGTTCGTCCATCTTTCTCTAACCTCCCTCATATGTCATCGCTCCAACGAAGATCGACCATAAATTTTGCTGAGTTAATCGCGATCAATTATTTTTTAGCATGAAGAGAAAGGGGGGGAAAAAAGTCGCAGGCGGAAAGGAGGAGGTCTGGATAGGAAGCGGAGGGGGGCGGGGGGCGGAGGGGGACGGGGCGCGGAGGAGGAGGTCAGAGATGTCTTTGAGGAGAAAGAGGAAGAAGAAAGGAGGAGGGGGCGGAGGAGTAGGCTCCTGAGGCGAAGCGGGAGGAGGAGGGAGCGGAGAAGGATAACAAAGATGTAGAGAGAAAGGAGGAAGGAGGAGATAAAAGAGGGGAAGGTGGTAGAGGAGGAGAAAGGTTCGTCATCATAGCTTTCTGTTCTTCCTCCATCCTAGCACCCTGCTCCTCGATCTTCCTCCAGCCTCCAATTGATTGTTCTTCTTCCCTCCGGCGCAACTTCCTCCTCCTCTTTCTCAACGTCATCCTTGTCGTAGCCGTATCAGGTTGGGATCGGATGAGTGGGATGTGATCAACATCGGGTCGGATGGGACTCGTATCGACTGATGGGATCCAGAGGGATTGGGGGGGTCAGGATGGGACTGGATGGGATCGGGTGGGCTCATGTGTGTGTGTGTGTGTGTGTGTGTGTGTGTGTGTGTGTGTGCCTCTGTTGGACATAGTCTGACTGCTTTATGTGTTATCGAAATTCTCAATTTTTCGTGTTGTCGTCTTCCTTTTTGCAGGCACTCTCGACGATCGCCTTGTTAGTGAAGACGAGTGAGAAAACTCGGGATTCGTTGCGAGAAGAATGCGGAGCGGTGGAGGTGATGGATAGATTGAAAAAGCAGCTGCGTCTTCTGGCAGAAGACGCAGATGAAGAGGGAGCAGAGTATGTGATGGGTGTTCTAGAACAGCTTCGGACTGAAATTGTAGAAGGCCTAGCCACGTCGGAAGAGAAGGATGAGTTGTGATGAGGATATTCCCTTAGATTGTAGGCGTTCGATGGTCCACACTTCTTTTCCACCTTGATAATTTTTTGTTGTGCTTTGACTTAGAAAAAAGAGTTTTCTCTCTCTCTCTCCCTCTCTCTCTCTCTCTCTATCTCTCTCCCACCCTGCTTTCTTCTTTCTCCCTTTCTCCCTCTCTTGCCCTCTTGCTCTCTCTCTAAACACATCTCCCTCCTTTGTCCTCCCTTCTTCTGTAATGTTCACCCCTCTCCTCTCCCAGCCCTTGTGCCCTGCTCCTTACGGCCGTCTCTTTCCTGGGATGGGCCATCTGCATTTAAAAAGTGCAAAACACGAAATGGCGAGTCTTGCTGTCAGTTTTCTCTTTAGCCAAATTTTGTTCTTCCTAAGTTTTTGTTATTGTCATTGCTATTGCTGTTGTTGCTCCTCTTTGTGATCCTAAAATCTTTTAGCTATTAGCTTCTCCTTGTGATTTTCTATTCGTTTGTCGTTGGCACATTTGTTTCCCTTCTTGTCCGGGCAGTCTCTTTTCTCACTGCTGTACTCTCGCTCCATGCGCCCTCCCTTTCTTGAAGTTGAAGTTTCTTCGGCTATATCTTCAATTAGGCTGTTATTATGATCCTCCTCATGATGCCATTCATCACAGCTCACATAGAAGAACAATGAGTGTAGGAGAGAAGATGAATGTAAGAAGAAGCAGTAAGAAGCAGTAAGAAGCAGTAAGAAGCAGTAAGAAGAAGAAGAAGAAGAAGAAGAAGAAGAAGAAGAAGAAGCATGAAGAAAGAACCATGAAGAAAGAAGATTAAGGAGAAAGAAAAGAAGAAGAATGAAGAATGAAGAAGAAACATGAAGAAAGAAGCATGAAGAAGCATGAAGAAAGAAGATTAAGGAGAAGGAAAAGAAGAAGACGAAGAGAATGAAGAATGAAGAAAGGAGATGAAGGAGAAGGAAAAGAAGAAGAAGAATGAAGAATGAAGAATGAAGAAAGGAGATGAAAGAGAAGGGAAAGAAGAAGAGGAAGAACACGAAGAAGAAGAAGAAGAAGAAGAAGAAGAAGAAGAAGAAGAAGAAGAAGAAGAAGAAGAAGAATCCTTAGGGAGAAGTCAACTCGGAAAAATAGCGGAAAAAAAATTGTAGCGAAGAGAATTAACGAAAAGAAAATGTAGAAAACAATAGAAAAAAGTGCAAAAACTTGAAAAAAAATCCTTCCCACTGGCACATGTCATTGGTCCCCAGAGCAACTCGATTTCATGCGAAGTGGCATGACTCATGGGTCCCCCTTTACCTTCTTTTGCCTTTCACCATCTTGAACATTTCGGAAGGGTCCTTCCTGCATCGCCGACATTCGTCTGTGTGTGTGTGTGTGTGTGTGTGTGTGTGACCCGCTTCTGTCCCTCAGGAGTGACCTTCGGCGCATAAGGTCACTTGTCTCGGGCGACACCTGACCTTACGGCCGGTAGTCCCCCGGACTCCATACACCTTCAAAAACACAAACACAAACACAAAGACAAAACACAAACACAAAACACAAACACAAACACAAAACACAAACACAAACACAAACACAAACACATATATGGTTAGTTAATGCCAAAGGTCTGATGAAACAATCTACTCGCCCCGACTCGTTTCCTGGACACTAAGAGTCTTAACTAACATTTCAAAATGAAGGATGGCCTTAACTTGTGTGCAATCTACTCGGCCCGACTTGTTTCCTGGACGCTAAGAGTCTTAACTAACATTTCAACTTTTTGAGGTGTTGAATCCATTATGAGTCGTGGTTTCAACTTCCAACGATCTTGTTTATCTCTGCGGATGCTTCTTGCGGCTCAGTGCACTGAATTAGAATCAGTACGGTTTGTGCAGTGTTGATCTGCATGGGCTGTGCCATGCTTCTGCCCGACCCTCTTGTCATGCTCAGTGGTGGCGACGGTACCGTGCTCAGTGGAGGTGACCGAAGTGGTCATATTAAGGAAGTTGGTCGGAAGTCTCATGTTCCTCTTTTTTCACTTCGGTGTTTTTTTTTTTTAACAAACCGGCGCAGTGCCCAAGGCTGATATTACCAGTAAGAAGATTGAGGCCGGGGTCCTCACAGTCTACCCGGAGAAACCGAACCGAACAAGCTGAGAACCGGGCTCAGCGTCCCTCCTATGAGGATGATTATGCTGCTGCTGCTGCTGCTGCTGCTGATGATGATGATGATGATGATGATGAACTTCTAATGATTGTATGAGAAATGTGAGATAATGATACTAATGATGATGGCGATTAGTATGTGAAGAATTTTAGAAGTCTATGCTATATCAGCAAATCTGGCCTTCTAATTCTAGAACAACCCCTAGCCCTCCCTGAGCCAGGACATTACATCTTAGAGCACAATGTCATCCTAGCCAACATCAACCATAGCTATCCTGTTCTTGCCACCTAGACTACACCTGGACCTATAGGCTGTCCTGGTAGCACCCCCCGGTTAACCACCCGATTGTCTTCCTCCCTCGACTAATCCCCAGATCTCTCTACAAGGCCTCACACTCCTGTCATTTGCAGGTTACAGGGCAACGCCCCAGCTCCGGCCAGCGTCGTTCTGGCATTGGCATACCAGGGGTACAGAACAAAGCAACTACGTAGATATCAGCCCGGATTCGACCATGTCTTGAATCATATACGCCGAATGAGGAAGAAGGCCAAGTGCCGCCACGAATTACAGAACACCAGAAAAACTGGATATAACATGATTGATTAATTTTTTTTTTTTTTTCCTTGGATATCACGATTGAGCATGGAAAATCCCCCCCAGCCTCCCCTGCCCGCCTGTCCCGTCGCTGCTTCCGCTGAAAAAAAAATACACAGACATTCCTTATCGGTCCCAGCTAAGAACAGCCCCACCCCCTCCCCAGAGGCATTCAGTTCCCACCCAAAAAATGCGTATGCTTGCCCCTTTAAGTTACCCTAATCTGCCCCCACTGAGGTTTGAAATCTTCCCTCAGCCGCAGAATAGAGTAATCCCCACAAATCCGCTCAATACCCCCTTCAGGGCATCACTACCCACCTTGTGCAGCCCCTGCAGAGCTTTTTTTTGTTTTCCCAAACAGAACCTCAGGGTTCTGGCTCCTACCATTCTGGGGAGCAACAGTCCGGTTCCTATTCCCCCGGCAAGTCAATAATGAATACATTAGAGACGCACGCACACTCCTCCCCATTATGGTTGAGACTCTTGAGAGGACCGAGTGGGCGGCATTGATTACTTCCCTGGGAAAGGATCTACCACCCCTCACCCCTGCCTAAGTTAGCCTATTCCACTAATCGCTTGAACTACGGCGAATCCTCACTTTTGGCTCCTCTCAGCTGAGTATCTGCCTGATTGGCGTGGTAAACAACAGCGAGTGTGAGGAGGTGGCCTCTACGGGCTTTGTCGAGGCTTGTTCCTGTCGAGAGCTATTTCCTGCGGGCAGCTGTTCGTAATCTGTCCTTTGTGCAGTCCAGTGTATCTCCTGTTCCTAACCAATGTACAAAGGGTTCCCTGCCTAATGCCCCAGCATTCCTAGTTAATCCCGACTTCCCCGTCCAAATCTCGATAAGGATTTGAGGGTCTTTTGCGCAACGATCCAAAGCTCTGAACCCTAGACCCTTTGGCTAATCCAGTGTGTCTCCAGTTCCCTACCCAAGTACAAAGGGTTCCCGGTCTAATGCCCCAGCTCTCGTAGTTAATTCTGACTTCGGTGGTTTCTTCTGTTTGGACGACTTTTTTTTCGCATTGATCCATAGAGGTTCATTCTGCGGGTGTGAATCAGCCCTGAAAAAATCTCGAATGACAACATTGTAAAGTGCGCACAGGTCATCTACATACTTGTGCGTGTCCTTAGAAAACAGGATCAAGTGTGCATTGCCTGTCTAAAGATCGTGTTGAACGCTGCCGTGAAGAAATAGATGTCGCACCAGATAAGCGAGCATGCAAGACTCGTGGGACTCGTGGGAATCCCCAGTACGTGCCTCGAAACACAGCCGGCAAACTGCACTACGCTATATACAATGCACCAAATAGATGTCGCACCAGATGGGCGAGCACCAGATAAACGAGCATGCAAGACTCGTGGGA